CTTCTCTGTACTGTGTCGTGCCCGTTATGTCCAGCAGTTGAAAGTCCTTGAACTTGAAGCTGTTTGTATTCGTACGCATAAGCCCGATTTGTGTAAGCAAAAAGAACATGTTTTAGCACTTAGGTTATTTTCGTGAGTTGGCACCCCGTGTTCATGAGTTGTTTCTGCACTGTTCATGCCCGTTTGTCACACTTACTCTTTATTTTAGTTCTCACTTTTTGTAATACTTACCACAAGTTACCCGTCATGTGTCACACTTCTTTGGATTTTTAACCTTTGTTTTTCCCTTGATCTCTTTAGTTCCGTATTTCCACTGATGATCGGAGCGTGAAAATCGATTTTGGAAACACACAAAACCAAACCTTGAACAAATATTAATTGTCATGTTGCGTGGTGATGTCTGCGGCATTCATACTTTTCATAGCTATTATTAAACTTTTATCTCCACGTAGATTATTTGTATATTTTAAGTGGAGATACTCTAGAGAACAGATAGATACTCTGAATAACGCCCTGCGGAAACGCCATGTTTGTCGTTGCATTTCATTGAATATTTCTTTTCTTAAACAGTGTCGGGAAAGTGGCGTTTGTCCAAGTGCCATGCAGAAGCGCGTACACAGAGCCAAGGCGTATCACTCATTAACAATAGAGAGAGTATTCTTGAAGGATGATATCGCCCGGTCCTCCGATACACTTTGTACTATACAGTGTGAGTTCAAACGTTTGTACTGTGTGGCTCGCTCATTCCTTTTCTGCCCATGACTATCTTCGATTTAGTTCACTTATTGCTGCTAATGACAACAAATTACAGACGAGGCTCATTGCGAAATACGAGAAGAATCTGAAGTGGTTGCGCACAATATAAAACACGTTTCACGTATCATCCAATCTAAAATAGGTCGGGAGAGCAATTTACGGCCCGAAGGCAATAACGCCAGCGCGAAATAATGCTGCGCACAACCACAGTATACGCAGCATGTGGCTGAGTAGTGGCGAGTTCGGAAAGATGCTCGACTTGGCGAACCCACTTATCAATCTTACCCGATACAAATGTGTGCAGGAATCTCTCAGACCCAAGGGCGCCACGAAGATAAATGCAACCATCCGTAACAATTCTCACCCCAGTCCCAGCGAATAATTCCTGCGCTGCGTGCTCGAGAGATGGCTTCACGAGAAGAACTGTCTTCTTCGGATTGGGGTGGTACCCATAGTCGGGTCCCAGCTGCAATAACTTAGACCAGTAAAGGGATGTGGCTTGAAGGGTGCCAGCAGCGGAATCGTCATCAGCGTACCACAGCTGGGTGGTGTTTGGACATTCGTGTGAAAGTTTGTTTATGAGAGGCATAACAGCAACAGCGTAAATGGCCATCGCAAGGGGGTCACCCTGGCAGGTCCCCTCACGGGAAAGAATTTCGCCCACACCCGCTACGAAGAGGCGGCATGGCGTGCCATACGTGTTCTTAAAAACCTGACCTAAAGCAGGACAGAGAGCGGGAACATTGTGCAGGGCAGCATTCCTATTTAGAGAATTGAATGCATTAGATGCATCTATTAGCAGCACGGCTTCGGTTCCAGGAAGACTAAAAAAACCTGCCATTGCCTGAACGGCAGCCTCGCAAGCAGCTGGCATGCCAACGCAAAGTTGGCGCGGGGCAGTCGCAGCTCTGACGTCGCTTTCGATAACCTTCATTATCGCTCGCCCTATAATCCTCCCAAACACCTCCCCAACAGCTATGGGTCTAACGCCTGGGGATTTATCAAGGGGGATCAGGCGGGCGGCAGTGAATGCCTCCATGAAACTCGGCTCGATATTCGCAGTACACATTACGCGTGCCGAATCCGCCAATGCAGTGCAAAGTCGGTTGGAAGCAGGGAGTAGTACTACTCCCTGGTTGGAAGCTGGGCCGAAGCACGTTAGTATCCTGGTCCAGGCCTCCGAGTCTAGTCCGGACGGACCAGCGGCGCCCTTCATGGACCTGCTAACAAACTTGATGAGGCTTGGCGTGATGCGCTCGAAGAGTATTGGGTTCACCCGCTGTGAGTCGGTCGGCGCCACCAATGAGCCAGGAACCGCCGGTGAGGGAGACGGGTGCTTGTCATGCAGTACCTCACGCACAGTCTTGTCACCACCGGCCGAGTCCTCCATCCCGAGCACTGAGCCAGGTGAGTCATCACCTACCATCCTCGCTACAGAGTGAATCTTCCCTGCGAAATGCGAATACTCGTCGACTGAAGGTTGCATCATCCACTGTATCAGGCAGTTTCTGGCGACGCTTCCCAGCGGGTAGGTGTGCTTGAATACATCTAGCTTCGTCCAGGATGTCCTCAAGCCTGCCACATGACCACGATTTCAAACGTCGCGTGATGTGGGTTGCATTCTCAGCAGCTAGCCCGGGACTCCGAGGGAGGTCTATAATATTATGATGAGAAGTATAGAATCAGACATGGATGTCAGGGCAGTATCGTTGATTCAGGCCCGAGAGCGGCCCAAGGCCGAAGGCCGCGGGCCGCTCGAGGGCCGGAATCAACGATACTGCCCTGACATCCATGTCTGATTGTGTTTCACACTGCCACCCACGCATGCGCGCACGACAGCACAAGTGAAAGCCAGAACGCGCTCCTCAGCAGAACGCGCTCCTCAGCAGAACGCGCTCCTCAGCAGAACGTGCATGTGCAAGTGCACCTACAACGCACCCGCAGCATGCTAGCAGCGCAAACAAAGCCACTGTACTGCACTAATCTGCATAAATCGAACTTGAAATACATCAACTAGAAACACCGAGTGCCTGCCTGCCCAAGTTCTCTTAGGCTTTATGGCACTCGTTGCACAACAATGGCAGAAACTCACAAGCTGAAGTTCCGCGCTCCGGCTGAAGTTTCGTTCTGAAGTTTCGTTCTGAAGTTTCATGTCAAGCAAGGTGAAGTTTCAACTCAAGCAAGGTGAAGTTTCATCTCAAGCAAGGTGAAGTTTCAGGTTGGTACCGCTCTCGGGCTTTGTTGATTCAGGCCCTCGAGCGGCCCGCGGCCTTCGGCCTTGGGCCGCTCTCGGGCCTGAATCAACAAAGCCCTCGAGCGTACCAACCTGAAACTCACAAGCTGAATCCTCCACGTCCCCGACCACCACCCCTAGAGGTTTCTTCCTTTTATACCTTCATGCCGGCGTGTTCAGTTTCACCTCCACACGATCTCGGGACGTGCTGATTGGTCAAGGGCCTGAATGCCACAGCATGTATCAGACATTGACCGGATATCAGGCTTTTTCTTTCTCTCTTGAGTTGTTCCACCTCGATCAGGTAAGTCTTTCCACGTGCGAGTATACCCATCACGTGATCATTCATGTTCTCCTACGGTGCCATTCAAGCCCAAGGGCCTGAATGGCAGGGCATGATCAGAGGTTCATGCCCTGCCTGTGAGCGCTCTGATTGGCTCAAACCGTGGCAACGATCACGTGGCAAGTGTGAATGACTGTTCAGGCGATGTCCCACTGATAAGAACGCTTGATTCAGCACTGGTGTTGGCCACATCAGACGACCGGGGCTCTCTCGTTGTCCCTGTTGCTGCGGCTGACAGTTCAGGGCAACTAGCTGGAGGGTCGGTGTTGCGTTGCGTACTGGAGCTAATTGATGGAGCAATTGGCTGGCTGGCGGAAGTCATGCCACAGGTTGCGGTTGATAGATTCTTGCACCTCAACTTCGCCCTTGGCGCACAGTTCGTACATTTTCTACTGTTCTTGACACAAACACATGATTTGCATGTCCCAGAAGGACCGCATGTGCAACATTTAGCCATACTACTGTGGCATAAGGAAGCTGGAGGTGCAAATGCAGCGGGTGATAATGCAAAATTGCTAGAATCGGTAACAATTGCCAGTTGATAACTGATGTAGAAAAAAACAGCACCAGAGTAATGCAAAGGTGCGACGGGGAAACACTAAGCAAACGAGGTGAAGGAAACACGGCACTGGTGAGTAGTAAGTGCGGGGCAGGTTCTGGTGCACTTTTTGACCTTTGACCTTTGGGCCAAATAAGGCACACTGTGTCGGTCGTGCTTGGTCTGGCCCCGGGACCCCCCAGAGTTTGACCTTTGACCCCTGGCATGCCATAAATGTGCCATAAAGGTTCTTTTCCGTGGCGAACGTGCACTTGTGCACGTTCGGTGCATTCGTACCAGGGAGTAGTAAAATACGTACTACTCCCTGATTCGCACATCGTAGATGTGCATTGCATGCAGTGACATATTGCGCATGCGCGCATACGCACGCGGAGCATGTGACCTTCAGTGGCCCTACGTGTGGAAAAGACGCAGTACAACACAAGGTGTACTAGTACATGTGTCATTATACTACTCCCTGATTCGCACTTCGTAGATGTGCAGCAAACAAGTACACGTGCCATGCACTCGTTTTATTCGCACATCGTAGATGTGCACTGATTGACAAGTTGCCCTGCAGAGCATGCCTAATCGGCTTTTCGATCGGTTATGAGAATGTTCAAATTCGGCCATATTATGAGCCCCAAGATCAGAATTCGGCTCAACATAGTACTTGAAGTCACCGTTCCCATTACGTCATGTACATTTACATACACCCTGTAGAAGCACTGAAGCATCGGTTTTTGGCGAATTCAACATGCGAATTTTTGAACATTCGGCGAAAAGATGGGTAATTTCTTCAAAACCACTGTTTTCGGCGAATTTTTCGCCCGGCCGATTAGGGAAATGCCTACTGTCCATACAGGTACATTAGATGCATATTTCTATTTTGATCGGAATTCAGTTAGAATCAACCGGCTACGCCCGGAGTATCATGCATCAAAACAATTATTGAAGGGGTGTCACAGTGAAGCAGTGTTGCTACGCACCACAAATCCCCTCTGCCCTGTACCGAATTTATACTGGAGAATCCAGAGTGGCCAGCAAAGAGTCACAACCCGCGGGTATCCAGTCACACTAAGGCATGTCCACCATTCCCCACATATTCACTGTTACAAAACACAATACTGTTTACTATAATACACTTTTATTTAAATTGACTTGGATGAGTCTGTAGAAGAGAACACAATGCACGCACACGCACGCATGCGCGGACACACACACGCACACACGCACACACACATCTAGGTTATAGTGCTATACACGTATCTAGGGTTTAGGAAGCACGAGAATATGTCGAAGCACCCACGCATACCCCTTCATGCAGTGTACTTCAGTAGCCCAACACATTACGACTGCTCAGGACCATCACAAAACACATTACGGCCGCTCAGGACCATCACAAAACACTACACACTGTTACTACAATGCATACACAGTTACTACACTACGCCTGTTACAAGTACTTACAAATAATTTTGAAAACAAATGGCACATCCCGAAGACGGCAGCTAGCTCCAGACCTTCATACATACATCATCATCATCTGTAAAACCAAGCATGAGCGCACACAAACACTATTAGTGTCACGAATACGGAAGCAGGGTAAGACAAGAGGATACGAAACAAGTAAGTATCGCTATAACGAGGGGGATAAGTATACATGTAGACAGAGCAGTGCTTACTTACAGGGTCCGGATACGCTCCATGGCGTCCCGGTAGTCGGACTGCAACAGCAGCCCGACTTGCCGGCCCTCCCAGTAACGGGTTCGATGGGCCGCACCCGCCAGGTGTGCGGCCACGGCCTGGCCTCCCACCAGCCTTTCTCCACTGTAAAAACGAAAGAAACCGCAGAAAGCACAGTGTCATAGAGCTCTTTTGTTGGGGGAGAGAGCTAGGAGCACTGCACACTTACCATTTGTCACAATATATTATAAGAAAGAGGCGGCGCTTGACGCACCGCCTCAGGTGCTGAAACAGGGGTATAACTCCTGTAAGTTCCACACCGCAGTGACATGTGAAAGCCATACTGTAATGATACTGAAGTGAAGGTGTGAACCGCAAAGCAAGGCCTTTACCTTCTTCCTGTCGAATTCGCTCTCCAGCTGCATAACGACATCATCCGCTAAAATCCAATCATACCAAGTAATGCAAAGGTCATCAGTTGACCTTTTGGACTTTTCAACTCTTATCCAAAACCACCAAGAGGAAAAAAAAACCAGGATAATAATAATAATCTTTATTTCAGGATTACCCAAAGGCTAACGCCTATCTGGGGATGAAGAAGACGTCAGTTGTAGAAGCGTTTGTGGAGGAGTTGTTACATTATTCTCAGTAAATAGATATGGCTGATACATTCGGTGTAGACGTGGACGACCGGTCGTGGTCTCTCACCACGGGTCCTTTACTAATAGAAAGGCGGACGTCAATAAGAACTGTTGTGGACTTGGCAGATCAAAACGCGCAGCAAGAAATTTGGCACGTCGATGGTAGACTCCATCGGGAGGACGGACCAGCTCTTGTTGATAGTAGGGGAGTGTCCGCCTGGTGCTATGGAGGTCGCCTTCATCGCGTTAATGAACCTGCTTGGATAGGACGGGGTAGCATCGAGTACTACCTCAACGGCGTCTAGAGCCGGCGGTCCTGCAGTCAGTTATTGTGACGCCACATACTGTATTCTACGGTGGTATCACCACGGAATGCTCCACAGGGAGAATGCGCCAGCGGTGATACGCAGGGAAGGTAACAATCGTGTACGGGAGTGGTACCGATACAACCTTCGGCATAGGGAAGATGGACCTGCTTTCATCTCTCAGGAGGAGGAGGGTATCTATCAGTGGTACCTCAACGGGGTGTATTACGGTGACCACCATCAAGACCAGGCAATACACCCCATGGAGCTGCAGTACACCAATGTAGTACCTACTAAGGTAGACTCGTCAGCAATAAGTCATGAGTCCATTTGTGTGATTTGTCAGGATACCCTGGACCGTCCTCTATCCAAGTTGGAGTGCGGTCATGAATTTCACTTCCACTGTATGAAGCAGTGGATCAGTTCTACCCCCAGCCCTACTTGCCTAACCTGCCGCTACTCCATGACTGCTGAGGACTTGGTTGAGTTCTTGTAGTAATACATGACACAGCTGCATGTAGGCGACTACGAATGACCAGTCATGTGCTACAGATGGACACGGACACGCCACCCTAAGTAGCCATGAGCGGCTATTTGGACAAGGACAACAAAGCACCTCGTGGGCGGCCAAGGTTGACACTAGCCACAAGTCTGGTCGCTCAGTTGAATAAGCTGGGTGTGCCCATGAAGACCATGGAAGACCTTTCCAGGTGCCGACAACATGCAGAGGACAAGACAGACTGGAAGAAACTGTGCAGCTCGACACTCGAGGACAAATCAGTATCAGCATCTACTACACCTTGCTGATGATGCTCACAAGACAGAAGTGGGAAAAACACTGAATTTCTTTATTTAGTGCTCAACTACGCGAAATGTGTTATTATTATTATTATACATGTTCAACTGTACTCCGTCTGGCTGACTGCCATTCTCTACCACACATTACCGGACACTGTTGTGGTTTTCGTCGTTATCGTCGTCGTTGTTGATGTTGTAGTCGGTTGTTGTCGTCGTTATCGTCGTCGTTGTTGATGTTGTTATTGGTTGTTGCTGTCGGTTGTTGCCGGTTGTTGTTGGTTGTTGTTGGTTGTTGTTGGTTGTTGTTGATGTTGTTGTCGGTTGTTGTCGTCGTTATCGTCGTCGTTGTTGATGCTGTTATTGGTTGTTGCTGTCGGTTGTTGGTTGTTATTGTTGATTGTTGTCGGTTGTTGTTGGCTGTTGGATGTTGTTGTCGGTTGTTGTTGGTTGTTGCTGGTTATTGTTGGTTGTTGTTGGTTCTTGTTGGGCGTTGTTGGTTGTTGTCGGTTGTTGTCAGGTGTTGTTGGTTGTTGTTGGTTGTTGTTGTCGGTTGTTGTCGGTTGTTGGGTGTTGTTGTCGGTTGTTGGGTGTTGTTGTCGGTTGTTGGGTGTTGTTGTTGGTTGGTGTTGGTTGGTGTTGGTTGTTGTTGGTTGTTGTCGGTTGTTGTCGGTTGTTGTTGGTTGTTGTTGGTTGTTGTTGGCTGTTGTTGGTTGTTGTTGTTTGTTGTTGTCGGTTGTTGGTTGTTGTTGTTTGTTGTTGTTGGTTGTAGTTGGTTGTTGTCAGTTGTAGTTGGTTGTTGGATGTTGTTGTTGGTTGTTGTCGGTTGTTGTCAGTTGTTGTTGGTTTCTGTTGGTTGTTGTTGGCTGTTGTTGGTTGTTGTTGGTTGTTGTTGGTTGTTGTTGTTTGTTGTTGTCGGTTGTTGGTTGTTGTTGTTTGTTGTTGTTGGTTGTAGTTGGTTGTTGTCAGTTGTTGTTGGTTGTTGGATGTATCTGTCGGTTGTTGTCGGTTGTTGTCGGTTGTTGTCGGTTGTTGTCGGTTGTTGTTGGTTGTTGTTGGCTGTTGTTGGTTGTTTTTGGTTGTTGGATGTTGTTGTCGGTTGTTGTCGGTTGTTGTTGGTTGTTGTTGGTTGTTGTTGGCTGTTGTTGGTTGTTGTTGGTTGTTGTTGGTTGTTGTTGTTTGTTGTTGGCGGTTGTTGGTTGTTGTTGTTGTTTGTTGTTGTTGTTGGTTGTAGTTGGTTGTTGTCAGTTGTTGTTGGTTGTTGGATGTTGTTGTCGGTTGTTGTCGGTTGTTGTCGGTTGTTGTCGGTTGTTGTTGGTTGTTGTTGGCTGTTGTTGGCTGTTTTTGGTTGTTGTTGGTTGTTGTCGGTTGTTGTCGGTTGTTGTGTTTTAATCGTTATTTTGTTCATTACCCAGGAGGATGTTGCTATGATCCAGTACCATTTTTTCGCATATATGAGACATGTTTGTGTAACGTTAGTGTGACGTGGGGTCTGCTGATTGGATGTGAGGTGGTGAGAGTATGCTGATTGGCCGATAACAATTAGTGGAAGGGATAAAGTAATGCGCTGCTTGTGCAGCGTAACGAAACACATGGTCTGTGGGAAACACCCTAGTAAAATAAATAAAAATAATAATAACATGAATTGCCACCGGCACTTGAGAGACTCGAGCCCCGCCACCTTGTTCAAATCGGACTTGGTAGCTTCATACTGGAACTTAATCTTCTTCTTTTTGAGGTATGACCGTACAAAACGCGCTTGGATTTTTTCATTTTTTTTTATTTATTTTTTATTTTTTTTATTTTTTATTTTTTTCATTGCAACTTTTTTTAGCAGATAGCAACTTTTTTAGCAGACTCGTGAAACAACGGTGAATCTGGAACGAATAAATGGTCCATGTCAAAGGCATGACGAGTCCCGAAGTCTTCACATTCACGATGGAACCTTGTCATGATTGACGCACTCCTTGATGGTGCGCACATGAAATCACCCTGGCTCATCTTTTCCAACTCCATTCTTTTCACATCCTGCAACCCATACCCTACTAGTATCAGTGGGGATGCTAGAATCAGAAGAGGCAAGGCAGCACTCTTCCGTGGATGTATTACTCGACACAACACCACCCATACTTGTTTTCTAGAAGTTTTGACTATAATGATATATTGCAGCAGGAAGTAGTATACAGTCAAATAGGATAGGATAAGAATGAATGATCAACTGTCTGATAAAGAATGCAGTTCATTAAAGACTTATTGGAAGGTCTCTACCAGCTGATCGTCATGTTGGACGGCGACACTGCATAATGATATGAAGCTCTCAGTTAGCTGTTTCAGTTCCGTGGTAGAAAGTGTCATGTGTGCGTCCAGAGAACGATGAAAACATCTGGGGTCCACGTTGATGCAGACGATTGGAGCAACAGCAAGACGTACCTTCAACGCTTGCTCGTCAATGTCGAGGGAGACTGCCCCGGGGTAGATGAAAACATCTTGTTCCACATCCAGTTCGAACCAGCTGGTCGGGACTAGCTTGCTTTCACCGTTGATGTACACCCGACATTGACCGTAGGACGAACGTGATGGGTAGAAGTTGGTCTTGATCTTCTCCACACGTCCTCTTCGGAGAGTGTCACGGAGCGATGGACAAGTCTTGATCAAGTTCGTAATGATGAACTCAGTGGACTCATTCAGTTCGATGTAAACCTGTCCTTGAGCATCTTTGCGAGCTGTTGCCGTACTACCACAGGCTGGTAGAGCTCCTGAAGGGAAGTACATCTTATAACCAGGCTTGTAGAAGGATCTACCTGATGACTTGTAGGACAGTTGCATGTCCTCCTGAAACCCATCTACCACAATCTCTTTGTGGAGCTTGGTAGGAGCAGGTGACACATAGCGACGCTTAGCCGGTACTGCCTTCGAAGAGGGCACAACTTGAGGAGGGTCAGCAGGAAGAGCGGAATTCTTCCTCACCCGCCGCTCGTATAGGTTATCCATCTTCCAGGAAGCGAAGGGAGAACAACTCATCAGCACTGTATTCGATGAACGAATGACTCGACTACAGGACAACCACCCGTATTTATACAAGGCAGAGACGGAGGCGGGTTGAAGTGATAAAATATGTGTCAGCTAGGTCAACCAATCACCATCAAGCCCACCAAAAACATTTGACCACTCAGCATTGAGCCCACCAAAAACATTTGACCAACCAGCATCAAACCCGCCAAAAGTATTTTGTCCAATCAGCGGCATGCCCACCAAAATCATATCTCATCTTAAAGATTCCTTACATGATACCACCACTTTAGTGAACTGATACAGTATGGAAATAAGATCAGAGTCAAACGTGTGCAAGTTCTGAATCACATGATCAAGTGAATAGGTTTGCCAACAATAGGCATCAATCAATGATACCATAAGAGATGTATCAGATGGAGATAAAATCAGCAAATTCGTACGCAACGTGGACAGTTGAGAAGAAGACACCATCCTGGTCGACTCCATGAGACGCAGTACATATAGGAGTGGAAAATGCTGAGGAAGAGGTTTCATGATTCGACTGAACCTCAACCATGATACATTGCTACGAGGTAAGTAGGAACGCAGTTTACGTAGTACATCCACATTCGTATCGTA